GTGAAGTAACTCCATCGGATGTTAAGTTTAAATATTTGTCTATACCTGCAGGGACAACAGGTCAAATTCAACCCCTAGATGTATTTGGTTTTAGAATATGGAAAAATTTCATTAGAAGATTTTCTGATCAAGTTATTCTCTACCAGTACGATGTCAATTTGTATCAGCGAGATAACATTTTAAAATTGCAATCCTTAACGCATAACCAGTTGTCTCCCCCACGATTTATTAATGTTTTTAAATACGCCTGGTTTGCATCTGGATATATAGAGGAGAGACCAGAACAGTTTGAAAATCCCGTGGAGGTTTGCTTTTCCAATGAAAAACCTACGTGCGATATCTGTGGAGATATAGCTGTTATAACTTGTGCATGGTGTAAACAATCTTTGTGTTTAAAACATTTTTTCCATGATTTTCATAATTGCCAACAATATATTGAATAAAAAAAGTAAAAAAAAAGAAATTAAATTAATAATGTAGAATACAATTTGTGGTAGTCAACCATTCTTTTGTCAGTTACTTTTTAACTCATTATTAATAAATATTTATATAATTATCCTAACTTTTGTGTTATTTAAATAGAATAAAGATAATTTTATTTTCTAGCATTTTTAGCATTAGACGAGTTAATTAGAATAAAACGGAAAATTAAACATTAAATTCTAAAAAATATTGACGTTTGAAATGTCACTTATGTTTTAAATTTCAAAAATATAATAATATACAGGGTGTTCCATTTAAAAATCGAAAGTTAGTGTCACTTCCGGCAAAACCGGAATTGAAAAAAAAACTACTTGTATGTCAAAAAGTGTCTCTTATCATGTGTATAGGATGTCCCAAATTTGAATCAATTATCTTCAAAACTAAAGGAGATACGGGGGTGTACCATGATCCTGTTACACCCGGTATATTTCGCCCCGATTTCCAACCCTTATAACTCGCCCCAGGGGCTTTATTAGCACGTATAAAAAAATAAGTAAACCTTATTTTTGGCCATACTATCGCTGTACCAAATTTCAACAAAATCGGTGAGGGACAGTTCTGATACTTCCCTTGTGAGAGCAAAAGCGCAAGAAAGCAACTTTGTTAAGAATACACTTTACTACAACTTTCGTTCAAAAAGTCTTTCTGTAACATGCTCAGATTCAAATTCATTCAATTTTATAGTTGTTGCTTGCTGAGGCCATCATGGTTGACTCCATGCACTTTTGTAGTGTCGAGAATACGTTATCTGACTTATCTTTAGTTAATGCGTCGAAGGCACCGTTAACACAATCTATTAATATTTGAGCCTAACAAGTGGTGATATCTATGGTTGGATTGACTATGGATTATGTTATCTTGATTAATTATCATTGATTTTTATGGGAAACCTTTCTCTCTATCACCTTTAATTTTCTACTTATAACAGAATTTAACGCAGATGATTGTCAATTTTGATATTTTGAGAATTCCTGGCTTGAGCCTAAGAAGTGGTGATATCCAAGATAGCATTGGTTATGAATTATGTTATCTTGATTCATTATCATTAATTTTTATGGGAAACGTTTGGGTATTGAGGTGATACAATTCAAAGCTTTGTATCTCAAGAACGAAATAACATATCATACCGTTTTAAAGCAAATTTTATTGGTATTAAGTGAAATGAAAATTATTTCCTTATTTCTACAAATTTTGATGCAATTGATTTTTTAAATAATCTCGGTATATCTATTTATAAGAAATGAAGTATATCTAAACACCTATTTAGAAAAAAACATATCTCAAAAAGTAATTGAGATATCACGATGATTTAAAAACCGTTTTATAGGAAATTTAATCTATTATCAACACACCAAAAATAATTCTTTCGTTCCTATAAACCTCAATGATAAGATTTTTTAATCTAACTCCGTGGTTGTTAAGTTGATACAATTCCTGGCTTGAACCTAAGAAATGATGATATCTACGGTGGCATAGACTATGGATTATGTTATCTTGATTCATTATCATCTATTTTTATGGGAAACCTTTTTCTCTATCACCTTTAATTTTTTTACTTATAACAAAATTTAAGGCACATGATTGTCAATTTTGATATTTTGCGAATTTCCGGCTTGAACCTAAGAAAGGGTGATATCTACGGTGGCATTGACTATGGATTATGTTATCTTGATTCATTATCATTGATTTTTATGCGAAACGTTTTTCTCTACCACCCTTAATTTTCTACTTATAACAGAATTTAACGCAGATTATTGTCAATTTTGATATTTTGAGAATTCCTGGCTTGAACCTAAGAAATGGTGATATCTACGGTGGCATTGACTGTGGATTTTGTTATCTTGATTCATTATCATTGATTTTTATGGGAAACGTTTTTCTCTAACACCTTTAATTTTCTACTTATGACAGAATTTAACGCAGACGATTGTCAATTTTGGTATTTTGAGAATTCCTGGCTTGAACCTAAGAAATGGTGATATCTATGATAGCATTAGTTATGAATTATGTTATCTTGATTCATTACCATCAATTTTTATGGGAAACCTTTTTCTCTATCACCTTTAATTTTCTACTTATAACAGAATTTAACGCAGATGATTGTCAATTTTGGTATTTTGAGAATTCCTGGCTTGAACCTAAGAAATGGTGATATCTATGGTGGCATTGACTATGGATTATGTTATCTTGATTCATTATCATTGATTTTTATGGGAAACCTTTTTCTCTATCACCTTTAATTTTCTACTTATAACAGAATTTAACGCAGATGATTGTCAATTTTGATTTTTGAGAATTCCTGGCTTGAACCTAAGAAATGGTGATATCTATGATAGCATTAGTTATGAATTATGTTATCTTGATTCATTACCATCAATTTTTATGGGAAACCTTTTTCTCTATTACCTTTAATCTTCTACTTACAACAGAATTTAACGCAGATCATTGTCAATTTTGACATTGTGGGATTTCCTGGCTTGTGCATAAGAAATTGAGATATCTATGGTGGTATTGCTTATGAATTATGTTATCTTGATCCATAATCATCAATTTGGAACCAATCAACTTGGATCTAATGGCTGGTGCAACGTTATCGTAATCATCTTTTTGCATTCTGCTGCGTTAATAGACTCGATGTTTTTGGTCACCATTGGCAAAGGCCAAAGTCCTATTTTGCTGTTGAAATACTGTTTTTTAGCACTGTCAGCGTGGTCTGGCCACTGCAGCCATAAACATAACTTTAGTTATGAACCGTTAGCTTTTACAGCGCCTTTCTGGTTCTGCTTCGTCCATCGTTATGTAGTATGACCTTTTAACTTGCTTTGAGTCGTACATATTCTCAAAACGTCGATTCGATTTAACTTTAGACAAACAGAACTCTAGTTTCTTTTATTAATTAAATTAAGATTACATTATATTATATTCGTTAATTCTTCAAACTTTCCTTAATCCATAAATTTTAGAGAAATGTATACCATAATTTGGGACAGAGGGAATACTAAGTTTAAAATTAATAAGTAAATTGGTGTAGAAACGATTTTGGGGGAAACCGGGCCTGAAATTGATAAAAGAAAAACAGCGAGGTGTATCAAAACGTTGATGAAGATATCCCTCAAAAAAATGTTTTTGCCATTAACCTACTTCACCTTAACGGAAAGACTCACAAAAATTTATTGGAAAGAACGAGAACAACTCAAAATCCTTCACGACAGCTTAAGAGGAAGCATTGAGAGGAAGCGAAAAGAATACAACAACAATTTAAACACCGAAAAAAGACCGACTTACATGGATATATTATTGGGGGATAAAAATAACAAAGAAACAGATATTTTAAGACAATTAACGATGGTCTTTACAGCTGTAAATTAAAATTATTTTATTTAAATCAAATTAATTAACTCAATTAATTAAATTTTAGGCTTTTGATGCTTCGGCGGTTTCAATGTCTTACATGATTTATTATTTGGCGAAATACCCCGAAATCCAAGTAAATATTTTTGATTTAAATCAATCTAATAATTGTTAAATCAAATTTGTAGCAAAAAGCGTACGAAGAGGTTCACTCAATCCTCGGCGAAGATATCCACCAAACAATAACCAACCAACAAATGTTAGGGATGAAATATTTAGATTTAGTCATGAAAGAATCGATGAGATTAGGCCCGGCGATTCCGTTTTTCACTCGAACACTCGAAGAAGATATAATATACGAAGACACCGTGTTACCTAAAGGATTAATGGTTCTTATGATCCCGTTTATGATGCATCTCGACCCTGAGTTATATCCGGAACCTGAAAAGTTCATTCCAGAACGGTTTCTTCTGGAAAATTTGAACCTAAATAGATATAGTTATACCCCTTTTAACGCTGGGATTCGAAATTGCATGGGTAAGAAATATTTTTTTATGGAATATTTAATAAGAAAGGTTTTGTAGGACAATTGTATGCGATGACCTCGATGAAAATTGCCCTAGCGAAGCTGTTGCTTAATTATGAGTTTGTCGACGTCCAACATAAAATTTGTTATACAGTGGAGATTACTTTGCAATCAAAAACTGGGGTTAGAGTTGGGATTCGAAATAGGAATCACAAAATATAATAAAAAACTATGACTAAAAATTTGTTATCTTGAAAAATAAATATTAATCAAATCGAAAATCTTTGATTTCCGTATAAAGTGAGAAAATGTGTGTTTGTGTTTTTAATTTTTATCACAAGAACGATAAAAATTATTTTTCAAATCGGTCGTTTTCGTTAGATAGATTATAGTTTTCTTTATAATTGGTGATAGTTTTATAACGATTCATTAGATGCCCAATTTTATACGATTTTTTTAATCAAATCGAAAATCGTTGTATTCCCTACAAAGTGGGGAAATGTATCGTGGTGTTTAAAAATTTTTATCTCAAGAACGAAAGGAGATTTTTAAAAACGGTTTTCTTTATTAAAAAGGTAACACTTTCTTCTATAATTACTGAATATTGCGTAATGATATCTTTAAAAATCGATTTTTTATGATTTTCTGAAAACGATTGATTAAGTAATTTAAATATAAGATAGCGATGAGACAAAAAGTTTAATATCTCAAGAAGTAAGAAATATTTTTAAAAACGGCCTTTTTCGTTGAAAAGATCACAGTTTACTTTATAACTGGCGATAGTTTCATAACGATTCATTAGATGCCCGATTTTATACGATTTTTTGAATCAAATCGAAAATCGTTGTATTCCGTACAAAGTGGGAAAATATATCGTTGTGTTTAAAAATTTTTATCTCAAGAACGAAAAAAGATTTTCAAAAACGGTTTTTTTTATTAAAAAGGTTACACTTTTTTCTATAATTGATGAAAATTGCGTAATGATATCTTCAAAAATCGAATTTTTAAGATTTTTTGAAAACAATTGATTAAGTAATTTAAATATTAGATAGTAATGAGACAAATAGTTTAATATCTCAAGAAGTAAGAAATATTTTTAAAAACGGACTGTTCCGTTGAAAAGATTACAGATTATTTTATAATTTGCGGTAGTGTTATAACGATTCATTAGAAACCCGATTTTATACGATTTTTTAAATCAAATCGAAAATCGTTGTATTCTCCACAAAGTGAGAAAATGTATCGTTGTGTTTAAAAATTTTTATCTCAAGAATGAAAAAAGATTTTCAAAAACGGTTTTCTTTATTAAAAAGGTAACACTTTCTTCTATAATTACTGAAAATCTCATAACGATATCTTCAAAAATCGATTATTTATGATTTTTTGAAAACGATTGATTAAGTAATTTAAATATAAGACAGCGATGAGACAAAAAGTTTAATATCTCAAGAAGTAAGAAATATTTTTAAAAACGGCCTTTTTCGTTGAAAAGATCACACTTTGTTTTATAACTGGCGATATTTTCATAACGATTGATTGGAAGCTCGACTTTACACGATTTTTTGAATCAAATCAAAAATTGTTGTATTTCCTACAAAGTGGGAAAATATATATCGTTGTGTTTAAAAATTTTTATCTCAAGAACGAAAAAAGATTTTCAAAAATCGTCTTCTTTATTAAAAAAGTAACACTTTCTTCTATAATTGCTGAAAATTCCGTAATGATATCTTCAAAAATCGGTTTTTTATGATTTTTTGAAAACGATTGATTAAGTGTTTTAAATATAAGATAGTGATAAGACAAAAAGCTTAATATCTCAAGAAGTAAGAAGTATTTTTAAAAACGGACTTTTTCGTTGAAAAGATCACAGTTTACTTTATGATTGGCGATAGTTTTATAACGATTCGTTAGATGCCCAATTTTATACGATTTTTTGATTCAAACCGGAAAAAGCATTGATCCCGTCAATGCTACATAGGTATTCACGAAAGTTATTTCAACTGATTCTAAAAACCTATTTCATTTTAAAATTATTTTTACTCTGACAAATTTTTGATTAAACGCATCGTTTCCAAGTTATTCGTAAAAAGATACAACCTTGATTTTAAAGTGTTAAGATATGTTAATAGTTGTAAAACGGCAAATAATTATAGTTTTAGTGAGCAAACTGACATTCTTATAATGTTGGGAGAGTGAATGCTAACGCAGGTGCGAGATGATATTGAAAAATGTCCCAACTGCAGACAATCTGATAGAAAAACTTCTCTAATACGTTTACGTGAGACAAAAAATTTAAGACAGAAGTAGGTATGTATGTAAATAACGGGAATCAGAGGTCAGCTCATACACCCGAACTAGAAGAAGGTGAACCAGAGAAACTGCTAGTACTGTTGATATCAAGAGTTCAGACATTTCGGAAAGTCCAGAAATACCACTTGTCGACAGTACAAAAATTAAAAATTTAATCTACTTATTATTCAAAATTTTCTGAAACCTGAAACATAAGATGATAGATACTTACTTTATAAAGCGATACTAAAAATCACCTCATCTACTATATCGCTTAACAGTTCAACTTTCTTCTACACACCAGACTTCACATATTGCAGGTTGCAGTAAACGCTTCATCCATCGATTTTCCCAAAACTACTCATAGAGGGCACTCCACTCCCACTAAATCAATACCAACCCAAAAAAACTAAAATCAAAAGTTTTGGCAACCTAAAACGTTAAAATTACTAAAAATCATAAGTCGATTTCCACAACGATTTTCGATTTGATTTAAAAAAACGTATAAAATCGGGCATCTAATGAATCGTTATGAAACTATCGCCAGTTATAAAGTAAAGTGTGATCTTTTCAACCAAAAAGGCCTTTTTAAAAATTTTTCTTAATTCTTGAGATATTAAGCTTTTTGTCTCATCGCTGTCTTATATTTAAATTACTTAATCAATCGTTTTCAAAAAATCGTAAAAAATCGATTTTTGAAGATATCATTACGCAATTTTCAGTAATTATAGAAGAAAGTGTTACGTTTTTAATAAAGAAAACCGTTTGTGAAAATCTTTTTTCATTCTTGAGATAAAAATTTTTAAACACAACGATACATTTTTCACTTTGTACAGAATACAACGATTTTCGATTTTATTCAAAAAATCGTATAAAATCGGGCATCTAATGAATCGTTATGAAACTATCGCCAGTTATAAAGTAAAGTGTGATCTTTTCAACCAAAAAGGCCGTTTTTAAAAATATTTCTTACTTCTTGAGATATTAAACTTTTTGTCTCATCGCTGTCTTATATTTAAATTACTTAATCAATCGTTTTCAAAAAATCATAAATAATCGATTTTTGAAGATATCGTTATGAGATTTTCAGTAATTATAGAAGAAAGTGTTACCTTTTTAATAAAGAAAACCGTTTTTGAAAATCTTTTTTCGTTTTTGAGATAAAAAATTTTAAACACAACAATATATTTTCCCACTTTGTAGGAAATACAACAATTCCCCTTGTATATAAATCAACGTTTTCGAGGTTATTTCAATAATTACTGATACAATCAAAACTTTTTATATACAACATTTGATTAGAATTGTATTATAAACAATTTTTGTTAATAAAGTTTTTTTATATAACGATTTCCCTGTGAATAGTACATATTCGAAATTCGTCATATCCAGGTAAATCATAGAATTTTTCAAAAAAACGGTTCGTATAATATTTGTTTAAAATGTCATTTAAAATCGATTATTTTAATAAAAGTTTTTAATATCTCCGCGAGGTGGTGCTCTATTTTAATATATAAATCAACATTGTTGAATTTTCCAAAAAACGTTTCGTATAATATTTGTTTAAAATGTTATTTAAAATCGATTACTTTAATACAAAAATTTAATATCTAAAGTATTACTTTAAAGTAAGAAGTACTAGAAGTAAGAAATATTTTTAAAATCGGTATTTTTCGTTGAAAAAACCACAGTTTACTTTATAACTGGCGATAGTTTCATAACGATTTATTAGAAGCCCGATTTTAAACGATTTTTTTAATCAAATCGAAAATTGTTGTACTCCCTACAAAACATGTATCGTTGTGTTTAAAAATTTTTATCACAAGAACGAAAAAATATTTTCAAAAACTGTTTTCTTTATTAAAAAGGCAACACTTTTTTTTATATTTACTGAAAATTGCGTAATGATATCTTCAAAAATCGATTATTTATGATTTTTTGAAAACGATTGATTAAGTAATTTTAATATAAGATAGCAATGAGACAAAAATCTTAATATCTCAACAAGTAAGAAAAATTTTTACAAACGGCCTTTTTCCTTGAAAAGATCACAGTTTACTTTATATTTGGCGATAGTTTTATAACAATTCGTTAGATGCCCGATTTTATACGATTTTTTGATGCAAATCAAAAATCGTTGTATTCACTACAAAGTGGGAAAATATATCGTTGTGTTTAAAAATTTTTATCTCAAGAACGAAAAAAGATTTTCAAAAATGGTTTTCTTTATTAAAAAGGTAACACTTTCTTCTATAATTACTGAAAATCTCATAACGATATCTTCAAAAATCGATTATTTATTGATTTTTTGAAAACGATTGATTAAGTAATTTGAATATAAGATAGCGATGAAACAAAAAGTGTAATATCTCAAGAAGTAAGAAATATTTTTTAAAACGGTCTTTTTCGTTGAAAAGATCACAGTTTAATTTATAGCTGGCGATAGTTTTATAACAATTCGTTAGATGCCCGATTTTATACGATTTTTTGACTCAAATCGAAAATCGTTGCATTCGCTACAAAGCGGGAAATATATATCGTTGTGTTTAAAAATTTTTATCTCAAGAACGAAAAAAGATTTTCAAAAATCGTCTTCTTTATTAAAAAAGTAACACTTTCTTCTATAATTGCTGAAAATTCCGTAATGATATCTTCAAAAATCGGTTTTTTATGATTTTTTGAAAACGATTGATTAAGTGTTTTAAATATAAGATAGTGATAAGACAAAAAGCTTAATATCTCAAGAAGTAAGAAGTATTTTTAAAAACGGACTTTTTCGTTGAAAAGATCACAGTTTACTTTATGATTGGCGATAGTTTTATAACGATTCGTTAGATGCCCAATTTTATACGATTTTTTGATTCAAACCGGAAATCGTTGTATTCTCCACAAAGTGGGAAAATGTATCGTTGTGTTTGAAAATTTTTATCTCAAGAATGAAAAAAGATTTTCAAAAACGGTTTTCTTTATTAAAAAGGTAACACTTTCTTCTATCATTGCTGAAAATTTCGTAATGATATCTTCAAAAATCGATTTTTTATGATTTTTTGAAAGCGATTGATTAAGTGATTTAAATGTAAGAAAGCCGTGAGACAAAAAGTTTAATATCTCAAGAAGTAAGAAAAATTTTTAAAAACGGCCTTTTTCGTTGAAAAGATCACAGCTTACTTTATAACTGGCGATAATTTTACAACGATTCATTAGTAGCCCGATTTTATACGATTTCTTTAATCAAATCGAAAATCGTTGTATTCTCTACAAAGTGGGGAAATGTATCGTTTTGTTTAAAAATTTTTATCTCAAGAGCGAAAAAAGATTTTCAAAAACGGTTTTCTTTATTAAAAAGGTAACACTTTCTTCCATAATTACTAAAAATTGCGTAATCATAGATTCAAAAATCGATTTTTTATGATTTTTTGAAAACGATCGATTAAGTTATTTGAATATAAGGCAACGTTGAGACAAAATGTTTAATATCTCAAGAAGTAAGTAATATTTTTAAAAATGGCTTTTTTCGTTGAAAAGATCACTGTTTACTTTATAATTGGCGATAGTTTTATAACGATTCATTAGATGCCCGATTTTATACGATTTTTTGAATAAAATCGAAAATCGTTGTATTCCCTACAAAGTGGGAAAATGTATCGTTGTGTTTAAAAATTTTTATCTCAAGAATGAAAAAAGTATTTCAAAAACGGTTTTCTTTATTAAAAAGGTAACACTTTCTTCTATAATTACTGAAAATTGCGTAATGATAGATTCAAAAATCGATTTATTATGATTTTTTGAAAACGATTGATTAAGTAATTTAAATATTAGATAGCAATGAGACAAATAGTTTAATATCTCAAGAAGTAAGAAATATTTTTAAAAACAGCCTTCTTCGTTGAAAAGGTCACAGTTTACTTTATAATTGGCGATACTTTCATAACGATTTATTAGAAGTCCGATTTTACACGATTTTTTGAATCAAATCGAAAATTGTTGTATTCTCTATAAAGTGGGAAAATATATCGTTGTGTTTAAAATTTTTTATCTCAAGAGCGAAAAAAGATTTTCAAAAACGGTTTTCTTTATTAAAAAGGTAACACTTTCTTCTATAATTACTGAAAATTGCGTAATGATAGATTCAAAAATCGATTTTTTATGATTTTTTGAAAACGATCGATTAAGTTATTTGAATATAAGATAACGTTTAGACAAAATGTTTAATAACTCAAGAAGTAAGTAATATTTTTAAAAACGGCCTTTTTCGTTGAAAAGATCACACTTTACTTTATAACTGGCGATATTTTCATAACGATTCATTAGAAGCCCGATTTTATACGATTTTTTGAATCAAATCGAAAATCGTTGTGTTTTCTACAAAGTGGGAAAATGTATCGTTGTGTTTAATAATTTTTATCTCAAGAACGAAAAAAGATTTTTAAAAACGGTTTTCTTCATTAAAAAGGTAACACTTTCTTCTATAATTACCGAAAATTGCGTAATGATAGCTTCAAAAATCGATTTTTTATGATTTTTTGAAAACGATTGATTAAGTAATTTAAATATAAGAACGCGATGAGAGAAAAAGTTTAATATCTCAAGAAGTAAGAAATATTTTTAAAAGCGCCCTTTTTCATTGAAAAGATCACAGTTTACTTTATAATTGGCGATAGTTTCATAACGATTCATTAGAAGCTCGATTTTATACGATTTTTTGAATAAAATCGAAAATCGTATTTTCTACAAAGTGGGAAAATGTATCGTTGTGTTTAAAAATTTTTATCTCATGAACGTAAAAAGATTTTCAAAAACGGTTTTCTTTATTAGAAAGGCAACACTTTCTTCTATAATTACTGAGAATTGCATAATGATAGCTTCAAAAATCGATTTTTTATGATTTTTTGAAAACGATTGATTAAGTAATTTAAATATAAGATAGCGATGAGACAAAAAGTTTAATATCTCAAAAAGTAAGAAATATTTTTGAAAACGGCCTTTTTCGTTGAAAAGGTCACAGTTTACTTTATAACTGGCCATATTTTCATAACGATTCATTAGAACACCGATTTTATAAAATTTTTTGAATCAAATCGAAAATCGTTGTGTTTTCTACAAAGTGGGAAAATGTATCGTTGTGTTTGAAAATTTCTATTTCAAGAACGAAAAAAGATTTTCAAAAACGGTTTTCTTCATTAAAAAGGTAACACTTTCTTCTATAATTACTGAAAATTGCATAATGATAGCTTCAAAAATCGATTTTTTATGATTTTTTGAAAACGATTGATTACGTAATTTAAATATAAGATAGCGATGAGACAAAAAGTTTAATATCTCAAAAAGTAAGAAATATTTTTGAAAGCGCCCTTTTTCATTGAAAAGATCACGGTTTACTTTATAATTGGCGATAGTTTCATAACGATTCATTAGAAGCTCGATTTTATACGATTTTTTGAATAAAATCGAAAATCGTATTTTCTACAAAGTGGGAAAATGTATCGTTATGTTTAAAAATTTTTATCTCATGAACGTAAAAAGATTTTCAAAAACGGTTTTCTTTATTAGAAAGGCAACAGTTTTTTCTATAAACACTAAAAACCGCGTAATGATATCTTCAAAAATCGATTTTTTATGATTTTTTGAAAACGATTGATTAAGTAATTTAAATATAAGAAAGCGAAGAGACAAAAAGTTTAATATCTCAAGAAGTAAGAAATATTTTTAAAAGCTGCCTTTTTCGTTGAAAAGATCACAGTTTACTTTATAACTGGCGATAATTTTATAACGATTCATTAAAAGCCTGATTTTATATGATTTTTAAATCAAATCAAAGTGAGAAAATGTATCGTTGTGTTTACAAGTTTTTATCTCAAGAATGAAAGTATATTTTCAAAAGCAGGTTTCTTCATTAAAAAAGTGATACTTTATTCTATATGTATAGAAAGTTGCATACCGTTATTTTTAAAAATTGATTTTTTATTACTTTTTTACTGCATTTTGTACTCATATCAAAACATATATATATGTTTTGTATTGATATGTAAACGAACATTTTTGATATTATCTTAATAATTATTGGTTATATCAATATCGTTTATAAACAAACTTTGTTTAAGATTAAATTGCAAACAACTTTTATTAATAAATTTTTTTAATACAACGAGATTTTAATTTCCCTCTGAATAGTACAGTTCATTTCAGAATAAATTTGACATAAAAATAAAAACATTTTTCAACTTAAATATTTTATTACTGCATTAATTAACAAAAATATAAACTAAATCGAAACGAAAAAATCTATATTACAATATTTACATTAAATTAAATAAAAAAAATCATTTTCTTTGGGTTTAATCATTTTCTACATCATTCAAAAATCACGAAATTTCTCTTTTAAAATTTTTTTAATTTCATTTATATTTATAGATAATCAGAAATAAAAATCTTCTTTAAATCGGGTACACTCCCCCCGGCCCCAGAAACGCATCTCACAAACGACTCCTTCTGCGCCAAATCCAACCCGGACCAAGTCGCTTCCGGTTTCAACCCGTTCACTTTCCCCAAATTCAAAAACCCCACCCCTCCACTCGTCTCATCCAAACACAAATACGAATAAGACCGTTGTTGAACATCGTTATTCGTCGTCACATAATCACTATCAATAAAAGCACGAAAATTTTCCAACGATCGTTTCGAATTCGATCTTGTTATTTTAAAGTTACGGTTCACGTCGAATTTGGCACTTTTCGAACAACAATCCGAGGAGGAATTTATGGTAACATCTTTGTGATTCGATTTTGAAGTTAATAAATCTTTTTGGTTATGATTTGGTTTGAACGTTTTCAAGATGATTTGATTATTAAAAATCTCTTCTCTATCTCGTAAATATTCGAAAGTTTCGTGGCCATGCGAAGTTATAAAATCTAATTGGGGGCTTTTTGGGCGGATTTCATAGAAATCAAAATCTCCGTTTGCTTCTGTTGTTATCGAAAACGAGCTCGTACTTGAATCAGAATCGAAATTGCTTGTTTTATTGATGTTAATGCTATCCGAAAAGGAATCTTCATCCGAATCGATTTCTTCGCTTAATTTCTCGATTTTATTGAAAGGGAGGAGGATTTTCCTTTCGAAATCTTCTCTCACCACAAAGTTTCGTTTCTCGAAATCTTCCAAACTATCCTCACTTTTCGATAATCTTAATTGGTGGTGATTAAACACCTTTTTATCCCCATCAATTGAAGCCATCCCATAACGATTTAAACCGTTTTGACTCAAACTAACTCTTTTTTGATTACTATTATTATTTTGGATACCTTTTTGATGACTTTTAACCCCAATTTGAACCATTTCTCCTTTACTTTGATCATCACAACTCGAACATGAATACTCCAACTGATTAATCGCCTCAATTTGATGTGGTTTTTGAAGCTCTTGTTGCCTCAAATAAGTCGCGTGGACCCCCAAATTAATTAAATGACTACTTTCTAAGTTCCTCGATCCTTTGTGTCTCCGATAATTATGGATAATTGGAACCCTTCCATCAATACTTGTGTACAAAGAACCATTTGTGATGGGAAATTTCGGTTCTTGATTCAATTGGGTTGATTTTTGTTGGTGGTGGTGATGTTGACGGTGGTGGATTTCGTTGTTGGAGGATTCGATGATGATTTCTGATTGTTGGGGGATTTCTGGGTGGTGGTGGCCCCCAAAGGGGCGAAATTTTCCATCTAAACCCACTACAAAAAATTAATAAGTATAAAATTAATCCAAAAAAAATTGATTTTGTTACCTTGGGGTAATTTTTCGTTGAGCTTCTCCCGGTTTGAACAGCGATAAACGTTTGAGACCCACTGACAAAATCTGGTATCGACCAAACCAAGACTCAAAGGCACCAAGATGTCCTGAAGCAGCCCGAGGCAAAGTGCAGCGGTTGCTACACTCCATGGCGATATGAACCAAGGAAATAAACACAAAACCTATAAAGAAAAGAATGTGCTTTTTAGTGGTGAAAACCGCATTGAGAAAGCTTATTTAGTTCTTGAGATATTAATTTTTGAGTTAATTTCAATTTTTATTAACTTTGTAATTTTTAAAAATCGGTGAAAAATCAAATTCTTTTTGAAACTCCTTGAAACTATCACCACTTATAAAGAAAAGTGTGATCTTTTTAATGACAAAAACAGTTTTTGAAAATCTCGATTAGTTTTTGAGAAAAACAATTTTTAACTTGACCCAATTTGATTGAAATTTTTTGTTATCCCTCGTTAATTAAAAATATAGTAAAAATTCGATTAATTCGAAAATCTTTTTGGATATTTTACCACTAATAAAGAAAGGAATATACTTTTTAATGCCGAAAACCGCATTAAGAAAGCTTATTTAGTTCTTGAGATATTAATTTTTGAGTTTATACCAATTTTTATTAACTTTGTAATTTTTAAAAATCGGTGAAAAATCGATTTCTTTTTGAAACTTCATGAAACTACCACCACTTATAAAGAAAAGTGTGATCTTTTTAATGGCAAAAACAGTTTTTGAAAATTGCGATTAGTTTTTGAGAAAAACAATTTTTAACTTGACCCAATTTGATTGAAATTTTTTGTTATCCCTCGTTAATTAAAAATATAGTAAAAATTCGATTAATTCGAAAATCTTTTTGGATATTTTACCACTAATAAAGAAAGGAATATACTTTTTAATGGCGAAAAGCGCATTAAAAAAGATTATTTAGTTCTTAAGATATTAAGTTTTGAGTTTATATCAATTTTTATTAACTTTGTAATTTTTAAAAATCGGTGAAAAATCGATTTCTTTTTGAAATTCCATGAAACTATCACCACTTATAAAGGAAAGTGCGATCTTTTTAATGGCGAAAACACTTTTTGAAAATCTCGATTAGTTTTTGAGAAAAAAAATTGTAACTTGACACAATTTTATTGAAATTTTTAGTTATCCCTCATTAATTAAAAAAATCGTGAAAAGTCGATTAATTCGAAAATCTTTTTGGATATTTTACCACTAATAAAGAAAGAAACATACTTTTTAATGGCGAAAACCGCATTAAAAAAGCTTATTTAGTTCTTGAGATATTAATTTTTGGGATTATATCAATTTTTATTAACTTTGTAATTTTTAAAAATCGGTGAAAAATAGATTTCTTTTTGTAATTCCATGAAATTATCACCACTTATAAAGGAAAGTGCGATCTTTTTAATGGCGAAAACTGCTTTTGAAAATTGCGATTAGTTTTTGAGAAAAAAAATTTTTAACTTGACCCAATTTTATTGAAATTTTTAGTTATCCCTCATTAATTAAAAAAATCGTGAAAAGTCGATTAATTCGAAAATCTTTTTGGATATTTTACCACTAATAAAGAAAGAAATATACTTTTTAATGGAGAAAACCGCATTAAAAAAGCTTATTTAGTTCTTAAGATATTAAGTCTTGAGTTTATATCAATTTTTATTAACTTTGTAATTTTTAAAAATCGGTGAAAAATCGATTTCTTGTTGTGATTCCATGAAATTATCACCACTTATAAAGGAAAGTGTGATCTTTTTAATGGCAAAAACAGTTTTTGAAAATTTCGATTAGTTTTTGAGAAACAAATTTTTTACTTGACCCAATTTTATTGAAATTTTTAGTTATCTCTCATTAATTAAAAAATTCGCGGAAAATCGATTAATTCGAAAATATTTTTAGATATGTTACCACTGATAAAGAAAGGAATATACTTTTTAATGGCGAAAACCGTATTAAAAAAGCTTATTTAGTTCTTGAGATATTAATTTTTGAGTTAATTTCAATTTTTATTAACTTTGTAATTTTTAAAAATCGGTGAAAAATCGAATTCTTTTTGAAACTCCTTGAAACTATCACCACTTATAAAGAAAAGTGTGATCTTTTTAATGACAAAAACAGTTTTTGAAAATCTCGATTAGTTTTTGAGAAAAACAATTTTTAACTTGACCCAATTTGATTGAAATTTTTAGTTATCCCTCATTAATTAATAAATTCGTGAAAATTCGATTAATTCGAAAATATTTTTGTATACTTTACCACTAATAAATAAAAGAATATACTTTTTAATGGAGAAAACCACATTAAAAAAGCTTATTTAGTTCTTGAGATATTAATTTTTGAGCTAATTTCAATTTTTATTAACTTTGTAATTTTTAAAAATCGGTGAAAAATCGAATTCTTTTTGAAACTCCTTGAAACTATCACCACTTATAAAGAAAAGTGTGATCTTTTTAATGGCAAAAACAGTTTTTGAAAATCTCGATTAGTTTTTGAGAAAAACAATTTTTAACTTGACCCAATTTGATTGAAATTTTTAGTTATCCCTCATTAATTAAAAAATTCGTGAAAAGTCGATTAATTCGAAAATCTTTTTGGATATTTTACCACTAATAAAGAAAGAAATATACTTTTTAATGCCGAAAACCGCATTAAAAAAGCTTATTTAGTTCTTAAGATATTAAGTCTTGAGTTTATATCAATTTTTATTAACATTGTTATTTTTAAAAATCGGTGAAAAATCGATTTCTTGTTGTGATTCCATGAAATTATCATCACTTATAAAGGAAAGTGTGATCTTTTTAATGGCAAAAACAGTTTTTGAAAATCTTGATTAGTTTTTGAGAAAAATAATTTTTAATTTGAACCAATTTGATTGAAATTTTTAGTTATCCTTAATTAATTAAAAAAATCGTGAAAAGTCGATTAATTCGAAAATCTTTTTGGATATTTTACCATTAATAAAGAAAGAAATATACTTTTTAATGGAGAAAACCGCATTAAAAAAGCTTATTTAGTTCTTAAGATATTAAGTCTTGAATTTATATCAATTTTTATTAACTTTGTAATTTTTAAAAATCGGTGAAAAATCGATTTCTTGTTGTTATTCCATGAAATTATCACCACTTATAAAGGAAAGTGTGATCTTTTTAATGGCAAAAACAGTTTTTGAAAATCTTGATTAGTTTTTGAGAAAAATAATTTTTAATTTGACCCAATTTGATTGAAATTTTTAGTTATCCTTAATTAATTAAAAAAATCGTGAAATGTCGATTAATTCGAAAATCTTTTTGGATATTTTACCATTAATAAAGAAAGAAATATACTTTTTAATGGAGAAAACCGCATTAACAAAGCTTATTTAGTTCTTAAGATATTAAGTCTTGAATTTATATCAATTTTTATTAACTTTGTAATTTTTAAAAATCGGTGAAAAATCGATTTCTTGTTGTTATTCCATGAAATTATCACCACTTATAAAGGAAAGTGTGATCTTTTTAATGGCAAAAACAGTTTTTGAAAATCTTGATTAGTTTTTGAGAAAAATAATTTTTAATTTGACCCAATTTGATTGAAATTTTTAGTTATCCTTAATTAATTAAAAAAATCGTGAAATGTCGATTAATTCGAAAATCTTTTTGGATATTTTACCATTAATAAAGAAAGAAATATACTTTTTAATGGAGAAAACCGCATTAACAAAGCTTATTTAGTTCTTAAGATATTAAGTCTTGAATTTATATCAATTTTTATTAACTTTGTAATTTTTAAAAATCGGTGAAAAATCGATTTCTTGTTGTGATTCCATGAAATTATCACCACTTATAAAGGAAAGTGTGATCTTTTTAATGGCAAAAACAGTTTTTGAAAATCTTGTTTAGTTTTTGAGAAAAATAATTTTTAATTTGAACCAATTTGATTGAAATTTTTAGTTATCCTTAATTAATTAAAAAAATCGTGAAATGTCTATTAATTTGAAAATCTTTTTGGATATTTTACAACTAATAAAGAAAGGAATATACTTTTTAATGCCGAAAACCGCATTAAGAAAGCTGATTTAGTTCTTGAGATATTAATTTTTGAGTTTATATCAATTTTTATTAACTTTGTAATGTTTTAAAATCGGTAAAAAATCGATTTCTTTTTGAAACTTCATGAAACTATCACCACTTATAAAGGAAAGTGAGATCTTTTTAATGGCAAAAGCAGTTTTTGAAAATCTTGGTTAGTTTTTGAGAAAAAGAATGTTTAACTTGACCTAATTTTATTGAAATTTTTTATTTTCCCTCATTAATTAAAAAATCCGTAAAAAATCGATTATTTTAAAAACTTTTTCGGATATTTCACCCAAAATAAAGAAAAGATCGTACTTTTTATCGGCGAAATCCATATCGAAAAAGCACATTTAGATCTTGAGATATTAAGCATTAAGTTAGCCGATCGTGGTTAATTCTTAAAAGGAAATCTAAATGCCAAAAGCTGCTCTCACATTCACTTGATCTTTCACGATTTCATCTTCCATCACGAACTCAAAGACGAAACCGAAAAAAACCCGGAAAAAGTGTTGCACCTCAAGATCTAAGCGATTTTTCAATGCGAATATTTAAATGGGATATTTGTAATCTTAGATGTCACCTTGAAAATGTTGACTTGAACGTTAATAATAATTGTAACAAGATCGTTTTTCTTTCGAATCTAACCCGGTTTAAAAAAGTTATGGTTGAGTGAACCGGAAAAAACAAGGTGTGGCATTCGTATATTATCTCTTTGAAAAACAACGAGTATATCTCGAATTACAACATAATAAGATATCTTCTGCTGCTGCTTGAGTACTGTTAAATCGATTAAAAATAGAATAAAAACGGTGTATGCAATTATGCACCTAAAAAGACCACGAGAAACTGTTAGGAATAATCAAGTAACTGTTATTTTTTCAACATGTTGAGAATTTGTTTCAATTTGATGCTTAACCTCTTTTATTGTTGTAAAATATCATTGAGCCCTGACTCATAAAGTGAAAGTTGTGCATTAGAACCACATAAATTGCACTCTAATTTATTACGAAATTTATACTTTGAGATTATTTTGATTATTCATTTTGGAATTTGGGTCCAAAATAAACTTTAATAACAAAGATTTCAAACAATATTATTAGTCACAAAACCTTTAACCAAAG